GGTGAGAGAGAAATAATTTTCGCACCCCCTTTCCCCTTTTTTCTAGCGGGGAATTCCAGGCCGACGGAGTCTGGAACCACCGTTTCCGTTGAGTGTCCTTTATCTGTCGATTGAAAAGTCGGTTCAAAACTCAGTTGACAGACTATTGAACGATAACTTATTCGGTCAATAAAGCGGTGGACTCTCTTTTCCACCCGTTTTAAAGGTTTTTTAAAAGTAAACCTATACTTAGAAGAGGGGAAAAAAAAATAGATAGTTTTTGGGCCAAATTTTGGTATTAGATTTATTTCAACCCCACTTTTAACCAAAACCCTTTTTAAACGATCCAGGAATAAAAGCAAACCCGTAAAAATTAAAACTGGAAACAGATTTGGGGAAAAGCAGTTCCCGGGTGTGCTTTTGGAGGTCTTAAAATAAAAATTCTACAGGGGGAAAGTCTATGTCATGTTCAAATTTGGGGAATTTTTAAGATTTGTTACAGGCTTGAAATTTTTCGAACCTGTTCTAGAATATTTTTGAGGGGATGGTGCCTTTTTTATGGTTTAAATGTTTTTGTAACAAATTTTGGTAATGTTTTCCTTTTTAACACCTCTTTGGGAGCTGTTACTGTAACATCTGGTAACTGTTAAATGTTAAAAAACCCTCTGGTTAAAAAAATTTTTTACTGTAACACATCTGGTAAATTTATGTTTAAAAAACCCCTGGTATTGTTTCTGGCCCCATTGGGGCTGTTTCGGTTTAAATTGGGACCCCCTAAATAAAACTGTTTTGGGTTTAAATATAAACCCATAACAAGTTTTTAGGCACCAGGGGAAAATGATGAACTTTAATTAAAAAAGGGCCCCCTAATTTAAAAAAAGGTATTTTGATTTGGAAATTTAAAAAGTTTGGGGGTTGGTTTTGACAGTTTGAGAAAAACCAACATATTTGTCACAGGGGTTAAACCCCCTGAATGAATCCCGATCCCCACCACCCTTTTTTTGATAAAGAGTTTAGTTTTTAAATGGGGTTTTGTCAATTTTGTTACTAAACCCGTACCCCTGCACAATAAACCCCAAATTAGTGCCAGGTACTACTCAACCTTTATTACTACAAACTAATAGCTACTAATATGTACTACCCTGATGGATGTAACCGCAGTTCAGATCCTAGTCTTTAATAATAGTTTGGGTGGTAAAAGTTTCGAGCGTCAGCGATTATTATTATTGGATCAAAAACAGGATAGTTTTCAAATTAGAGTACTCCTGGTAATCAGGAGTAGTTATGCAACTCGTTGCGACTAAATCGAGAATCCGAGAAACGACCCTTTGTAGTATCAGGATTCAGGATTCATCGCTGACTAATTATAGTACCTAAAGTAAAAACAGTTCGTCCACTAATTAACACTAAGCAAAATTCTCCTTAGAAAACAGACGAACAAACAAGATAATTTCATGATCGTGGTAAAAGACACAAAATGTTTGCAGTAACGATAAAATCATCATCCAAAAATGTTAAATATGTCACCTACATCGGTAACAATCATCAGTAAATGTTAAAACAAAGTACAATGGCATGTCAAGAATCTAATTAATTGGGTGAATCTACTTAAAAATCTGATACGTGGGACTATTGGAAATGATTCGCGACCCTATAGTCAAACTTTATGATTATAATCGAATACTTTATGACTGTAATCGATTACACCTTACATTATAAAACAAGGCAATTTGAGAGCTTTGAATTGCTTCTGTTCTTGTCAAAATTCCTCAGATCCTATAAATGATCTGTTCTGGAGTGATGTTCCCAGTAGTAGATTATCGGCAAATTGACTATAAAGATGGACATTTTTGGGCAATTAGTAAGCGTCCTTTCTTCCGCGGAGATGTCAAAATGATAGTTTACTGGAAAAACGTTTAAAGAAAAGGAAGTAAAAAACCTCCTTTTCTGTTCGCAATTCAAATAAAAGCACGTGTCACGTGACTTACTCAACAACTGTTGCAGAGCTCGTCTTAAAACATTCACTACTTGAACAACACGTACAAAAATAGACTCACACTAAAATACTAAAACGAACATTCTGCTCGAGAGGACTTTGCAAGTGAGTAAAGTTTGGAGGACTCCACTGTGTTAACTACCGCACAGTTAACGAGTCTGCTAACAAACACAAGCTAATTAAAGTTGCTACCGGCCGTGTGGCAGTGCACGAGAGTAGTACTCTAGCTGGTGTGTTAGTTTGTAGGACACACAATATTATAGAGCACAGTACTTTTAAACATGTGTCGCATAACATGCAGCGTGAACTGCGTGCATTATCATTATACGCAGCATAACGTACTATACAGACTGACCAGCGAGCTAGGTAGCTTATCAGGGGACTAATGAACGGGGAGGGGGTTTGTTTAGCAGAGTTCAGTACTTGAAGGTCATATTACCCAACCCCCGAACAGATGGATGGTAACTTGTTGAGCCGGATAATATTCGAGGTCGAGTGTTATATATACAGTATGTGAATAGCAGAGGAGCAACTGGAGCACTGCAACTGGAGTATAACTGTTATAACTTTAATAACAATAGAACACTATCATAAATACATAGCAAGCACAGTTTCAAGGATTCTTGGTACAACAAAAAGGTAGAATCCCTACAGGTGGTATCCATTGTCCAGCTGTGATTTTACTACATCGATGACGAAGCAAAAGGCTAGACAGTGTAAAGAGACTGAGATTAAATTCGAAACTCGGACACTTACATCGCATTCCCAATTCTGCTTCAATTCGACAGGAGATCAACGCCCAGGAAACACCTTTGAAGGCTTACAGAATTCCCCAGACAACGATTTCCCAGACTGCGATTTCCCAGACTGCAATCGAATAGCATGAAGGATCGAGAGCTTAAAACCTGTTTAAAATTCTCCGGTTACCCTCCATCAATTATTGATCGAATAGCTACGAAGCTACAAGGAATGAAAGGACCACTTGAGTTTAAAATAGGAAAATCCGCCGCTAACAGCACACCAGGTTTCTTCGGACATAAGTTTAGAATCCACCCTCGGTTTGGGAGTTACTCAGACCTTTTAAAATCCTGTGAAAATTAATTTTTTTAAACCTTTACAGTACACATGTACACATTTCAGTTTGCATCAATTTAACGGGTGATACTCGTAAAATATTTGTTCCATATATTAGGACCGTCGACGAGTCCAACTCGGCACGCATCCTGGTAGGTTATAAACCTACAAGCACCTATCAGCCACATCAACATTCAACCAACTCCAAGTCTAGCCAGATGCCCAAATCACAGGCAACTAGTAAAACCAGTACACCAGCCACATCAATATTCAAACAACTCCAAGTTAAGTCTTACCTGGGGATCCCAGGCTATTATGTTCATAAACATATATAGAATAGAGATTCGGAACATAGATAGAATAGAGATTCGGCGGAATGACAGGCTGAGCGCCGCCCAGTAAAGTTAAGTCTAGCCAGATGCTCATATCACAGGTGACTAGTAAAACCAGTACACCATCAACACAAAGAACTTGTTTATATGCGCCGTTTCAGGAAAGCTGTGTAGTATTTTATCTTATCATAGTATTTTATCTTATCATAGTAAAAGCATTAATAAATTATTGGGGCATTAGTAAAAGGGTCGTACGCACCAACGCACTTAGGGAGCGGTTTTGTAAAACCAAATTATTTCGTGGCATGATTCCATTATTATCAAAACAGCTGAAGGACGTCTAGGCGTCATAATATTGACTGCATGGTCGGCGGTCGCCCCTCATTCATGGATTGATTCGTGAGTGGTGAGACACCAATACCATGCGGTCCAGGATCAAAATATAATATCATTTAACAAATTATGCTATATGATAGTTGTCAACAACATAACATTGGCCGATCCACATATTACGTCAACAACCTAGAGCGGCGAAATTAGCAGAAATGGTGACGCTATTGGGTAATTTTCACACAATGGCCATGAGTAATCCGGCTAACGGAGAGAGGTGGGTTTTAATATGGCAAATTCGCACAGACGTAACATGTGACGTAACATGTGACGTAACATGTGACGTAACATGTGACGTAACATGTGACGTAACATGTGACGTAACATGTGACGTAACATGTGACGTAACATGTGACGTAACATGTGACGTAACATGTGACGTAACATGTGACGTAACATGTGACGTAACATGTGAAGGGCCTCTTACCAGGATGAGAGTGTTGGTTCAGCTCTAAGCACCACATGGCATCAACTGCACGCTCGTTTCTAACAGAACCATACGTTTCTTATTCAATCCAACTGTAAATGGGGTGGGCTTAGGGGTCGTCCACATCTAATTACGTAATCAGCTGAGGGGGGGGGGGTTACGCTAGTGTAATTTTGACACAATAGCTATGTGTAAAACTGATTACGGAGGGGGGGGGGGGGGTAAAAATGTTCCAAAAAATGATTACGTAATATGTGAACGACCCCTTATCTCTCACAGTTAATCAAGACTGCTTAATTTAGATGAACAATTACGGTTATAAGCTTCAGTAGGTGACAGAACGATTAGACAACTTTAGTTTTAAGTACAACAGAATCAAACTCCCAATAGAATGATTACTCACCAACAAATCTAATGTGATCACTGATCAGACGGCTCACACCCGGCTCACACCCGGCTCACAGCAGGAACTGTCATCAAACACTAAAACAAAACTCTGTTCGCGTCTGATTTCCTTTATCTTCCATCTTTCTTGTTGTTGCTATTACTCAGCACATATTCTATAAGTAATTATCAGCTTTTTTTCTCGAAGCTCTTTTCATAACACTATCAATAAATTTGAATGTTCTTGACCTTCTGTGAAAATGATTTACAATGTATACAATGTAATATGTATACAATGTATTATACATCAAATGTTGAAGAGTTGAAGAAGTGTAGTGATTGAAATTTAATTTCATTTAATTCAGGTAATTTTCAAACATTTATAATTGTGGACAAGAATTGAGACTGGAAAATTCAAGAAATTTTCCAGTACCAATTCTTTCGTACGATTAAATAACAAATGAAATTAAACAAATCATACGATAGATGTATGCATATATTTCTCTATAAAAAAATTGTTTAAAAACATTTCGAACTTTCAGGTTTTATCAATTAAAACTCTTCTACATGGTAGGTATTCTAAAAACTAACTTTATTAATAAGGGTCATTATTATAAGGGTCGTCGTCATTTTTGCAACCATTTTTTTGGCGGATTTTGTGGCGATATTTGTTATTCATCTTCGCAATCCATGGCAAAAACAACATTTAAAGATTAAAAATCTCAACACCCAACAATGAATAAATAACCTTAAAGATATCGTCATTGAAGTGCAACGATGTTTATCCAACAGTGAACCAGGCTATTTTCAAAAACACCCAAACACCTTAATTGTTCAAGTCTGAGGGTCAATAAATAAGGTTCTTCACACGTTAAACGAAATACTGTTAGGAGACAAGTTGCCAATTGCCATGGAGACAACTTGTAGTTATGGAGACACATAATCAAGGGTCACTTTGAATTGTGTTCGGTGGCTTCTTGAGGGACACCACCCAACTGAAATCTTCATCTTCTCATTTGTAAACTGAGATTGTTGGAGAATAACAGCTGATTGTAAATCTCAGCTTGGTGGAGTTTAGTGCTGAGACCACTGAATCGTCTTGATGTCGATCCCTTCCTGAAATATGTTCAACTAAGAATCTTGTAGATATTAATTATTAACTGTGTGAGCAATCAAACAGGTTAAAAACAGAGAAATCCATGTAATGATTATAAGTGAGCGACAATGTAGCGATAATATGATGGTAAATAGTTTTAATACTTTCAACACTACTAATATAACAAATAATTTGAGGAGGTTCTCTCAAGATGATTTTTATATCGAAGATTTCAAGAGCCTAAACTGTGTATGATTCGCCTCTCCAAACAAATCTAAAGTTATAGTAAATAGTTGAGGGAGAATGTTTACCTGAACCATCTCCCATAGCGGCGACATTTCCCGAAGCCTAGTCACGTGTTTAATACACCTCTCAGCTGTGTAATCTACCTCCTCTACTGTCGAGTAACGTCCAAACCCGAACCTGAACACGTTTACCATGGTTAACACAGCAATACCTACTAAACATTATAGCATGCGGCTAAAATACTTTCTAGCTTTTCCTCTAATACAGCCCAGTCAATAAAGTCTTCATGTTTTTACAGTAGTTGGGGTACTTGGGGCCACCGACTGACCGACCACCCCAGTCGTAGGACTCCTAATCTACGGCTTTTCTTGGAATATTGCATATAGTTTCATTGCGTCCTAATATATGAATTATTCACCGAATGGAATAGCACATGATACGTTACGCGAGTTATAGTACGTGACATGATCTAACGTGACACTCGTTAATTCCGCGCAAAGCGCAGAGTAAACATTTTAAATTAAGCGCCGCTGGCGCTAAAAGTTTCAGTAGACCCTTTTGAACTAATATGAGTTTGCCACAGATTTTGTCACAGTATTCAAGCATAGATTAATAGCTACGATTTGATTGTTTTGAGCTCTACTTGAGGTTTCTCATTGAAGGTAATCGCTAGAGCTATAAACCATATAAATTAAGGAATTTATGTCCAGTTTGATATATTATTCAGGCTATGATATTATGCAGGCTATGATTCAGGCTATGATGATACGAGAATTTACCAATTTAAAACTGACACAGTTACTTGTTAGGTGCAATGTGGACAGATATTGACCTGTGAGTATTCTCTCAAATTCCCCTTCAAGTCTGTTTATTACCTGATTGAGGAGTGAGCCATGTCATCATCTGCCCCCAGCGCTCTCAGCACATAACTCGGTTCCAGAGAAGCAGAAGTACAAGCTGAACCTGAGGGAGGATAACAGTCAGGTAGCTATAGTAAAATACAATTTTTAAGTAAAATACAATTTTTATTTTCCACAGAAGAATCAATACATATTGAATTATAAATATCCGATAATTTCATTAATAATCATTAAAAGTTGCTTTGTAAAATCAAAATAGAAAGTTAGAAACACAAATCAGTACAATAAAAAGGAGAGAAGGAGATATGTACTGGTGAACATTCCCAAATCTCACAACCTGATAACAACGTAAACAAGATATCATAAAAACATTCAATCTCAAATTTTAAATGTTCTTAAACTCAAACAAGCAAAGAAAGATACAAACCTGAGGAGAGAGCGATATCTTTGAGAGCCATTAGTAAACTCTCTCCCTCGACGTAAGCAAATGAGAGGTTGACACAGCCAGGGTACCCTCTCTCTGGGTCTCCATTCCGCTCCACATGTGTTAGTTCCGAGGTCACTTTCTCCACAAACCTGTCACTCAGCATCTTCACGTAATCGTGGTCGTAACTAAAATGGTTATTCGATATTAGGTCATTATCGAAACACTTTCTCAGCATTTGAAACCTTTGGGGTAATTCTTTTCTTTGGCTGTTATTCATAATGATTGCGATCACTCATCACGAGCCTTCTACCTCCAATAGATTATTTAATAACGAATTTAAGAAGAGGGCTCGGAATTAAGTTTTAAATCAGTTAATACATTGTTTGAATTAAAACTATGAATATATCTGTTAAAATAAAGTAAAATGAAGTAAAATGTTAACCTGATCTCTTGTTGAGCAAGTGAGCAGGCTGCCCCGAGTCCCACGCAGAGATGAGTGGGAACTGTACCACTTCTCATTCCTCTCTCCTGACCACCTGGACAGTTTCACTGTTACATTTACATTCACTCTGTTGTTGTCATGGTAACTGTAGTGGTTACTAACTGTAATGGTAACTAACCTCCACTCTGTTGTTGTCATGGTAACTAACTGTAATGGTAACTAACCTTTACTCTGTTGTTGTCATGGTAACTAACTGTAATGGTAACTAACCTCCACTCTGTTGTTGTCATGGTAACTAACTGTAATGGTAACTAACCTCCACTCTGTTGTTGTCATGGTAACTCCATGGTAACTTACCTCCACTTTGCAGAGGTTCTAGTCGCACTCTAGGTCGTCTCCTAACGTAGAGAGCACCCACTCCTTTAGGACCGTATATCTTGTGTCCACTTATTGACATAAGGTCGATATTATTCTCATTCACGTCCACTGGAATCTTGCCAACAGCCTGGAAGTAATTACAGGAATATGAGAGAGTAAATACAGGAATATGAGAGAGTAGAATTAATTATATATATGGACACGTTCATTTGAGTTTGAGGATATTGGTAAATATAAGTGACCCTATTAAAAGGCACAGTGTAGTTGACTTTGTCACACTATGAAATTACACAAACCCTTGATGGTTAGGATAATCGTCTCATCCTCTAGGCTAACTTTGTCACTTAACGATATCTTAATCAGCTGATAAGATATCGCTTAAATACGGCCGGCACGGAAATGGTTACATTGTCACACTATAAACATGTGACGGAGTAAATATGGACCCCTTGCTGCCGTTTTTGACCAAATTTTTAAGTGTCCAGTTGATTGGATGGGTACATATGACCATTACCTACATATTTGACGAGTTTTTTCGTTAGATGGTGCACTCAGGTTTACTCTGTCACACATTTAAGAAAACATGTGAAGAATGTTTAGGGCACCCTGATAAGCAATGCTGAGTAGTGTAGGTTTATTTGATGGCCTGGAAGTGCTAGGAATTGTTATTATATCATATAGTCGTAAGGAATTAAAACACAGAAGGCACAAACAAGTTTACTTTGTCACATAATCTTGATGATATCTGAACATGTGTGAAATTGAACAAATAATGATATATTAGCTTAAACCCCTTATATTACGTACTATGGATCAAACAACACTGCATGTACCACGCACCAGTCACATAAATCATTATCGGGTGGTAATATGTTAACAGTGTCACAATTAAACTACCGCAACATGGTCAAAAATAGGGTAATTTCGTCACAAACAAATTATTATAACTCTGTTAGCTCCTTGCTGGCTAAATAACTAGTTCATTGATGATAAAGTTACATAGTATTCTAATAGAGGTATAGCTCTTCAAAATAGGGGCAAGACATGTTTACTTTGTCACATCAGTTATTATAAGAGTTAGGTAATCGTCATAAGATTAACAGATCTTTTCGTAGTTGGGATTGATTTATATAGGTAATAAGGCAGCCTATGCTAATTTTTACACACTATCTTGAAATTTTTGGGGCAGGAAAAGTTAATTTTGTCACATTTTTGGTGACTGACAAATTTAACCTAAAATTGTTAAACTTGAGCTCTGATGTTCTGGACAATATTCTACCGATTTTTTTCTGAAAGAATGTTGAATTCTAATAGAGTCATAGAATATATAGATCTTTAAAATAGGGGCAAGACATGTTTACTTTGTCACATCAGTTATTATAAGAGTTATTATAAGAGACTATTTCATTCTATAATCATTGTTTTTAACCTATTTACGATTTCGTATCATTTTTTGTGACAATGTAAACATCAACTGATCTTAACTTGCATCAACTACATTGTCATCATGTAAAGTTTTCCCGCCTTTCAAACCAAAAACAGATATAAATAATTCGCCCAAAAATTAAAATTCCATATATTGTGACAGAATTAACCTCATTTCCCAATAACCAAGTTCCTGTATTAGCTAACTATTCGAAACAACATATTTTAGGGCTATGATTGGTAGATCAACCATCAAATAATGAGTTAAAAGGTTTTTGAGGACACCTCACAGTAGAATAGAGGTTTGGTATTCTGAGTGTGACAAAGTTACCCAAATATTGCCTTGTAACCGTTCGATCCGTGCCCTTTAACCAATGTTGTATCATAATTGTTAGATTGACCTAATCTACTATATTTTAGACCAAGGAATGATAATTAGACAACTGCAGTTAACTAAGTCACACAAAATGTGACATTTGAACCATTATAGTGCCTAACAACAATAGATTTTCTTTCTGAGCAGTGCATATGGGAGTATGGGTTACGTGGCTAATGTTCAGAACTTCTGAACGTGCTAGCTTAATAGATGTCAAAATTAAGCCACTATCGTCGAAAACGCTATCATTTTTGTTTACCAATATCCTCAAACTCAAATGAACGTGTCCATATACTAATTGTGTAATTAATTACACAATCTTCCTAATAGACAAACACTGCCACTGATTAAGATACAGCAGCTGAGAACAGTGAAGAGAAGCTACACTCCTGTTGCCTTTACCTGCGCTGCGTCAGTGTGGAAGAAGATTTTGTTTTGTCTGCAAATCTCACCAATCTCTTTGACTGGCTGAGTTACTCCGATCTCATTGTTAACGTACATAAACGATACTAAACCTGCACAGGGAATTATCAGTTAATATATGTGAGACGTATAACAGGATTAAACAGGATAATTAAGCAACTGTATAGTAGACAATTGAACAATCCCCCCACACCACCCGACCCCCACCCCACCCCACCCCCACCCCCACCCCACCCCACCCCACCCCCACCCCAGCCCACCCCCACCCACCCCACCCCAGCCCCACCCCACCCCACCCCACCCCCACCCCCTCCTTCACAAGTGTTGTTGCGTACCAGTGTTAGGTCTGATGCTGGCTTTGAATAGGTCCATGTCAATAACTCCGTTCTTTTGGACTGGTAGATACGTCACCTGGTACATCAGTTATATAACATGTACTAAGTTAGTAAGTTACATAAGAATTAAGATACATTATCCATAACTAAAATATCCCTCAATATAACGTTAAAGTACAGATATTTACAATGATATGATGGTTAAAAATACAACTAATAGTATCGCTAACCTCAAATCCCTCTTTTTCCAAGTATCTACAACTGTCCAACACACATTTGTGTTCAGTTGCTGCAGTAATCACGTGCTGTTTCCTCTTACGGTAGAACTTAGCAACTCCTTTTACTGCAATGTTGTTACTTTCCGTAGCTCCAGAAGTAAATATTATCTCTTTTGGGTTAGCTCCTGTAAACACATACTAGTGTTATCATGGTTATGCCCGTTATCATTTGTGTTACAGGTATCACCATGGTAAAACTTCAATATACAGCGTTAAAAAAACATTATGAGTTGTATTATTATACTACTCAATACTCATTTTATATACAATACTAGAAAGCCCGTGGTATTGGTAACGGGGACGAAGCTAGTAGTATTCTTTGAAAGAAAGTTTTAATCGCATCAAAAAATATCCATCCCAACCGAAGATACAGCCGATTTAAATATAAAACACTTTAAACACAACGTAATTACCACAAAACCGATCAAAATGACGTTAAAACAATCTTTGCACGTGCATGTGTGCATTAAAACACCGTTGCTATGGAACGTTTTGGTTGTTACCTAAATTCCTATTTCTAGTCTGATTTGCACGTGGGCGGTCGTACAGACATACAGACAAAAAGAATTCTTTGAATTATAATAGAGATAATATACATAGTATGAATATGTTGATGTCTGTATTTAGCAGATAGGAATATTACCGATGAGTTGAGCGACTTGCTCGCGTGCTATCTCCACACCCTCCTCACTCTCCCAGCCGTACGCGTGAGTACGCGAGTGAGGGTTACCGTACGCACCCATCTGGTAGGGCAACATTGCGTCTAATACACGTGGGTCTACTGGTGTTGTTGCCTAATGGGGTAGCTCAGTTACATTAAATAACACATTAAGTACACGACTTAAAGATTATAGATGCATGTGGATTCTGGTGGGGAGGTGAGGCATATTTTTTACCCCCTGTAGATATATTTTCTAAACGAGAGCTCGAAAATAACCGAGAAATCGACCTTGTTCATTATGAAAACATCCCATTTTGCGAAAGAGTTCTTGCAAGTACCTACTTTAATTAAAGCTACATAATATAGTTATTACAGTAGCATGGAATATATATTCTCTCATGATCAGTATGTAACTGTCCATAATGTAAAAGTTGTTATCTCACTCTTGTTTACGCTAATATAATGCATTAAATAGGGGTGCAATAACTGGGAGGGAGATAACCATTGTTATCACATTATAAGCAGTGATGTAACTGCTTAGTAGTTACCTGAATGTCCAGGTAGATAGGTCTCCCATCCTCAGGAGTTACTACAGTTTCAGGGATATACGGTACACTGGCAACACTACTGGCTGCCCTGCTGAGTAGCAGATTGAGGCGTGCTGCCAACTGTCTGGAAACACCAAGTGCCATCTTGCTACAGAGAGTGGAACTTTATTGAGCATATTGAGTTAATGGTTTGTAAATATTATGATAAAAAATTGAATTTTACGTAGCTTTATATAATGTTCAAACAATTATTTGTTGCCATAAAATACCTCTTCCCTTTATTACTGAAATGCTCTCTAAGTATGATATAATAGATTACTATAATATACATATAACATAATTTATAGTAGAAATATTCTCAAATGTCAATCTAATTAGCAACTATACAAAATTGTATAAATAGTTTTCTGGACAATCAACTGTAACTATGCACTATAAATAGCATGTAAAAACTTGAACTGTTAACAATTAACATGGAATCGATAAATTTGTCATTAAGCACAGGATTGCAGTACAAGTCAAGTATATTTTATAAAGGAGTCAGCAATTTCATTCCCGAGTGAAGGCGAATCACTGCACAAATCGCTTTTTATTGTTCGTTTGACCTTTCATTTTATCGCTTATTGTGCTAGCTACTGCTTCAGATATTGCCAGTTTGCGTAATCAAATCAACAGGGTGATCCAAAATATTTAATTTTTGAATAATTCCTAGACGGTGCAATATAACTCATTTCTGTAAACAGTTTTTTGAAATAGAAGTTCTGAATTGTGGATTCCTAGTTTCGAATCACCCTGTATCTGTAGCTATCCATCATTTTATCATTCATTAATTTTACTGCATATTATATACTATTATATAGTAACAGGCTAATATCATCAAATATTTGGCACGTTATCGTACACGTTATATTACACGTAGACAGTAAATACATATGCACGGTATCCATAATTAGATGGGGATTGTCTCTAATGGACTAATTTATTGTTTACATCATAATCAGTTAAAAATAAAAACCCCAATGGCTCAATGGGCACTCCTGAAAACATAACTAGTAGAAAATATACTGTATCAAAACTAAATAAAAAAGTGAGGTCAAATGTAATAAATCGTAACAAACTGCAATTAATGGAATATACATTTTGAATTCGTTATAATTAATGGCACGAAGCAAATTATAAAAAATGTAACAAAAGTCAAGCGAAAGTGTTGTTCACAAAGCACATTTACAATGGGTTTAAGTTTCAAATTAATTCCACTGTATGAAAAACAGATTATTTTAAAATTACAGTTTATAAACATGGCATTGATTTGGTTTGGTAAAAGAGTGATAGGAATTAAAAAACAAATTAGAAACTCAATTCTGGACGTTGGATTTAGCCCCAATTAGCAGCAAAAACAATTACGAATTTCTATTTCTATTGGACCTACGTCCTACGGAAGCCGCTGATTTCGTGGATGAGAAATTTACTCGTGGACCACTCATTTACATTATCAACCCCCTTCTGCAGCTTCAGTATTGCATTGGCCATTGTGATTTGAATGCCCTCAGCGATTGGCATGACACTGAATAAATAGGGCCGTTGAAGAATATTGAATATATCTATGTTTGGCAGTATTGCAGTCATATAATCATTCATAGTTAAATCTGTTAGCACAGCACAATACAAACAACTCATTGTATATTGGTTGTTTTGTTTATACTTTTCAACACTCATAATTTTCATTACTAATTAGTACGATGGAATGTTATTAGCACTAGAATGTAGTTTGTCAACTAAACCCAGGAGATATCTATGGGTTGAATTGTACAGCTCATTTCAACACTTCAGCTTGTTTGATATGTCTGTGTTTTGACGCTCATATTTATGCAGTTTGCTAAAATTAGCTCGTGTTGTGATACGTGTGGATCTAAATATCAATGCGTAGTAGCTATGATTAATGAAAAACATTTAGATATTCGAAAAGGGAAATAATAATTGAACGGTTGAGTTTGTTCAGTGGGTTTTAAATAGATAAATAGAGTAGTTAAATTAAGATCTGAGTATTATACATGTACACCAAGGTATACTAATAGGTCACTTCCTCCTGCCCTACAAAATCACGTGATACTAATACTGTTCGCTGAATGGTCAGCCGCACTCCCAGCTCTCATTTCATTGGCTGTAGCCTGGGTACAAATTGTATAGTTGCAACGGCGATTACAGCTACTAGAGCAGCTACTAGAGCCGCCGCTATTTCTAACTCTCCTTCTTTTTTGTTTCATCCGTTATTTTCACTAGTTTAAAGTAAAAACTACAAGTAACAACACATATTATATACAGCCTGTATTGATGTAACGGTGTAGACTAAATATAGCTGCTAACCAGTTACCGGTACGACACACAAATGCAATTTATAACACAATGTCAGCTGTAACCATGGCATCGCAGTATTGCACTGTCAGCTGTACTGTAGCCATGGCATCGCACTTTCAACTGTGTATAAATTGTATAGTGCACGGAACTACATTACAGCCTTTTGTTTAATGAACTAGATTGTATTTGTTTCGCCGTTCTTTTGTTTCAATATCTGCACCTTCTTTTGTTTTTGATATATTATGTGCTACATCTGTATTTTAGTTCACTTCTGAAATTTTGCTAGTACAATTTTACTAACTTACCAAAGTTTAGAGCCGCTATCTTCATTCTTATCTCTAGCTCTCTAGATATTTATTTGAACTGACTGAGAGTTTGTATAGTTGTTGTAGTACGTTGACTGTAATCCAACACCAGTACAACATGTCGTCACTAGTATGTCACGAAGCATCACTGGCTAGTCACATTGTAGGAGTTTAGTACACGCCACGCCTACAACACTGCCACGATTCACAGATTCTCTTCGCTTGATACGTCTTCACTTGCAGTACAGAACTATGCACATATCTTCACTTGTATACAGTTTCCTGATTCTTCTCTTAATAACTCTATCTCTCCTTTCGTAGACACTTTCTTTCTCTCAGTTCTACACTTGTAGAGACTTGTTTATAACTCTGTTACTGTCCACTAGGCACTACACGTACATTAGTATACAACAGGGACAAAAGGAAATCGCGGCATGTACAGAATCGCGATTATTCCCATTATTTGCGACAAATTTTATGTATAGTTTAATGTATAGTCTGTTAAAATTTGAGGTATCGCGATTTTTGGCCAAAATAATCGCGAAATCCTTTTGTCCCTGGTATACAACTTTAAAGACAACATTAACTTACTCTCAACGATTTAGTTTGGTTTATGTTTATAACTACCCGTTTTACTCTAAACTCTGGTCACACTATCTAGTTATTGTCATTATAATGGCAGTCAATACAAATGGCCAAAATAATACCTCCACACGATTAACAGTCGCTTAAACCATCACATCATCACGCTAAGCGCAAATAGCACGAATATTTTTGACTTTGTTTTAACTTGTAAATACTAGAAGTTGCTTTTTACAACACTGCTCAGTAGAGATGTATTATTTAAAAGTCTCATGTTAACGCAATATTACTTCGTTCTAATTTGATCTGATAATCATTGGTTTGTTAAGGGTGAATATTACACTACATATTGTATTAACCCAGAAGCTCGTTAAATACAGGTGCAACTGTAAATGTTGACTGTGAAACTGTTATACTTATTCTACAGAACTCTGGATTATCAGAACTCTGGATTATTTAATCATAATACTACTAAAATAGCTTATAAAATTACTTAAAACATTAATATTCAGCGTTATATAGTTATATGTGTTATGCAATCAGATAAACGTAAGTCCTCAGTTTGATTTTATGATTTAACACTTTTTCATGCAGTTCTGGTGCTTTTACTTTTCCTTCTGTAATGTAAGCCTTTATTATTTATAATAGTAATTTTAATATTAGGTTACTACTTAAAACACTCCATAACGCACACTGACCTGATCTAAATCGGACTTTTATACATTATTTATTTTTCAGAGCTGCTGAAGAGCTTTTTAGTGCCGTTATCAACTAGAGGTTAGTAGAAGTACAGTAGATTAATATTATATTAACTTATACCAAAAGTATACTACATAATACATAAGTCAATTTGATTATTGTATTACCTATTATTATTTGTAATAATTGTAACTGACAATATAATGACAAAACTGAAACTTCAGATGAAAACGACTACGTGATAGTATCAGGGACGGACTGTGAAAGAGAACCTGAGTTTATACCAGATGGTCCAAAGAACGCCCTGCATCATATCTTGCAAGTGAGGGGACACAGACTGCCTGAATATTCATCAGTCAGGGATGGAGAGTCAAACTGGACAGCAACTGCTATTCTACACATTTCTAGACATAAAACTATATCTGTTAAGGTAATATTCTACATATTTCTAAACATAAAACTATATCTGTTAAGGTAATATTCTACATATTTCTAGACATAAAACTATATCTGTTAAGGTAATATTCTACACATTTCTAGACATAAAACTATATCTGTTAAGGTAATATTCTACATATTTCTAGACATAAAACTATATCTGTTAAGGTAATATTCTACACATTTCTAGACATAAAACTATATCTGTTAAGGTAATATTCTACACATTTCTAGACATAAAACTATACCTTAATTCCCAAAAAGTTGGGCGACAAAAAATTTGAGCGGGCCTCTCGCCCAAATTTTTTGCAGACCAAATTAATTGCATAAATCTTTTCCGTCTGCTAAATTTTTTGCTAACCAAACTTTTGGCATTTGGCCTGTGGCCCTGAAATCTATAGAAAGATGGCTTTTTCTTCATATAATCCAAGTGAAATAATATTTGAAATTTGAGTTTTCTAATTCTGCTTAAAATTGAAAGCAAAATGACTGGAATAATAAGGAATATAATGAACGAAGGCAAATATCTAACTGAAATTTTAGTGGAAAATCGTTCATTTTTCGAAGAATTTGTGCCCAAATTTTCGGTCGCCCAAATGAGTTCAAATTTTTTGCCCAAATTTTTCGTGCTCAAATAAATTGTGCTCAATATAATGGCACACAAATTTTTGGGAACTAAGGTATCTGTTACGGTAATATTCTACATATTTCTAGACATAAAACTATATCTGTTAAGGTAATATTCTACATATTTCTAGACATAAAACTATATCTGTTAAGGTAATGTTCTACGCATTTCTAGACATAAAACTATATCTGTTAAGGTAATATTCTACATATTTCTAGACATGAGACTATATCTGTTAAGGTAATATTCTACATATTTCTAGACATAAAATTATATCTGTTAAGGTAATATTCTACACATTTCTAGACATAAAACTATATCTGTTAAGGTAATATTCTACATATTTCTAGACATAAAACTATATCTGTTAAGGTAATATTCTTCACATTTCTAGACATAAAACTATATCTGTTAAGGTAATATTCTACACATTTCTAGACATAAAACTATATCTGTTACGGTAATATTCTACATATTTCTAGACATAAAACTATATCTGTTAAGGTAATATTCTACATATTTCTAGACATAAAACTATATCTGTTAAGGTAATGTTCTACGCATTTCTAGACATAAAACTATATCTGTTAAGGTAATATTCTACACATTTCTAGACTTAAAACTATAATAATAGAGTTAAGGTAATATTCTACATATTTCTAGACATAAAACTATATGATCTGTTAAGGTAATATTCTACATATTTCTAGACATAAAACTATATCTGTTACGGTCCGGTAATGTTACGGTAATGTCCTTCACAATTCTAGACATAAAACCATTTCCGAGATATGGAATAGAACTATGTTAGATGTTATGTGACTGTAATGTTGAGAGATTCAATGAGAGAGATTCAATGTCATCAATTCCTACAGCAGCACTATTTTCAGGGAGAAATGCACCCTAAAAAGAAGGTGGCAGAATCAAATGCAGCACAAATGATGCTCGATAGTGACGATTTTAAGGAGTACCTCAAACATCTGGACAAACAGTGAACTGTACAAAAAGTAGTTTATATTTCAGATGTTGAGTATAGACAATTGCTGATTTAATGACTGTTTCAAGAATATGAGAATTTTGTGATTATTGTAATGAAAACAGTTAAGGTGTAAATTGTTAAGTGACAAAATATAGGGCTGTTTTGATGCTATGTATATAGTTTTATAAGCTTTGTTGAATGATTGCTAAGTATGGAACAATTGTTTGTATAAAGGTATAACTCAAGTATGATTTAACAATTATACAATATACAATATACATCCTTGCTTACACGTAATGCAATGGGTTAAACTAGATGTCAGTTGCACAAGAGGGGCTTGTTATGCAATGTGATAGCAAAAAATTGAGAGTTGCAGGGAGCATTTAAACAAACCATTGCTGTTCCTAACCAGATCAGAAATAATGCATTTAAAATAAAAACATAACATTCAATATAAGTAGTAAAATCTGGATTCCACAAAATTAAAAGAATTGTTCAACAATTTATTAAAAAATCATAATTATTTTTAGAAGTAAAAAAATAATACTCTAAAAGAAAGTTAATCAGGTAGGTGTAACATTAAAAGACAACATACTATAACATCTCCACAAAATTGATATTGAATGGTAAATTAGTAACATTAAAAGGTGCTCTACTGTTGCAAGATGCTTTCCATGATTCATTCTCTCCAAGTTTCCTGCCTCTTTCAGTTAATCTGAGCTAGTTTCAGAGGATGAAGCTGAACTTGGTCTGTTTGCTTCGTCACTTTGTGCCCAGCCATCATCATTTGACTTACACCCTGCAATCACTGCTTTCAGTAAAAAAATTCTTGCTTCGTCATCAATAGACTGAGATTCTCCGATCCATACATAAACGCTGCTTACCAAATTCCAGTGTCCAATAAGATCATAGCGAAAGTTTGACAGCAAAGTCTTAGCAAAAGCACCCCTTTCCATTGGTTTGTGATCTAACCATTTGCAAATTACTTTGAACAGTTTTCCTTCATCGACTTTGATATGTGAGGAGGAAGTTAGAAGCTTGATGCGATAGTAATCAAGTTCAAGAAACTCCTCTGATTCCCTCAAAACTTTTGATAGGCTATTATCAAACTTCCTCAGGCAACATTTCATCAACTTAGAGCAGTTGACATTTTGAGAAAAGTCCAACATACTTGGGAAGCCTTCTTCAGTTATCATTTTTACCAGGTATGGATATGTCTTTTTGAGAAGCAATGGGACATCGTAACTTTTAGCAAATTTGTACACAGCCTTAGCATTCTTATCAGTAAGCAAAATCTTTCCGGTATAAAAGCTTTCCACAATTTCAGAGACAACATCAAAAAGTTCTGCGAACTCAGGCAAAAGTTCAACTTCCATTTTCTTAGTTCCTGAGTTGTGACCAATTTCACCAACCGTCAACAACTGGCTGTTCAACTTCAGGATAACTTTATGAGCTGGAATTATTAGTTCGCCAACACGAACGTCCACATCTGACGTTTCTTCATCAAGATACAACGATGTTAAACGTGCTAAGGTTTTCTTTTCCCATCCCTTTATTTCTTTGGCATCATCATTTGTTTGTGCACTATTTTGAGACTGAATAACAGTGGGATGAGAATGATATCTAATAGATCCAAATCCTATTTTCCTATTAAGTTTTCCCATAGGGACTTTCCTGGACATAATGTTCTCCCCTGCTGTCATAAGTGAAAGATTGATTTAAGATGAAGGAGAATATGTAATAAAATAGGTTTCAATCTTTATAAAGTTAATAAAATATTTGTCAAATGACATGATGGGATAGTTTTAATTCCCTAAATACTGTGGATAACCTATTTTTTGACAAAGAAAGTCGTAACTGCACGACATCTATTTCATTCCAAATTAGTGGCGTAACATTGCTCCATCAAAATATTAATGTTTGAAGCTTTTCTGCATTACATGCGGGAAACGAAAAGTAAAAAGGTAAAAAGAAACCTGTGCAAGATAGGGAGGCCGACTTAGATGGCCCCCAATTATCAGAGGTTCCCAGTGATCAGATCATGTTACCAATTAGTGACATATAATTAGTATAGTGATGTGAATTGTGATCCATCAGTAGAGTTTAATTGACCTAGAAATTGGCTAGATATACGATATATCAACTCTGTAGATCATAGCTGTACATTAAGAAGTAAACATGATATTTAAGATTTGTCATAAGATCACATAAGGAAGGGAGCTCTTGCTAATAGAGTTGGTTCTTGTATCAAGGGACGTGACACCGATGAGACTTGTGTGTCGAAGGTATGTAAGGGGAGTACATGAACTGATTAGATGTAAATACGTGACCTAGATTTTAGGTATATTATATATATATATTATACTGGAAGATGAAAGACATTAATATCGCATTCTATCAACATGCCTACCTTCTACAAATTCATCTCTAGTCGGACAGGATCTCAACAGCTACTTGACACTGATGGATACATCTACTTCCAGAAGAAGGACAAGGATTCAGCCCTCACATCTGCCTGGCGGTGCTGCAAGCACAATCTTCTAATTTTAATGTAATGTAAATGTAAATCAAAAGTGCAGAGTATGTACTTTACGAGTCGAGCAGACAAATTTTAATGATCATGTTAACTTCTTAATACATACAGCTATGATGTACAGACGGCCCCAACGTTAATGTGGCTCTTGCTATGTGTTGGTTCAGCCGAATTAATTATTATATAATCAAGTTTATTTTTCTCGTTAGTTGTCATCCGGCCAAACATTAAGCAACTTATATTGCAGTACCATTTATCATTTAGTATATCAAAATATGTCATTGTAACTTTGCATGGCTGAAATGTAACGCTTGATTTATATATATAATGATTAATTGAATTTTCAAATAAAAAAAAAGAGTTGAAATGTGAACTCTACCCCATATTTAGCCCCTTTATAGGTCAATTTTAAATTCTACTGATGGATCACATCACTAATAATACGTCAATAATTGGAGACATGATCTGATCACCGTGGGACCCCTGATAATTGGGGGCCCTTTTAGTCATACAGCCTTCAGGACCAAGCTGCACCAAGATCATAAAGTGTGTAGCAGCCAAAATAACTAGTTTTCAGTTGCACAAGATGGGCGTGTTATGCAATGTGATAGGACAATTGAGAGTTGCAGGGAGCATTAAAACAAACCATTGTTGATCCTAACCAGATCAGAAATAATGCATTCAAAATAAAAATATAACATGCAATATGAGAAGTAAAATCTGGATTCCACAATAGTTTAAAATTAAAAGAAATAATCAACAATTTATTAAAAAATCATAGATTTTTATAAGTAAAAAAATAATACTCTTGTGCCACATGCTCTAAAAGAAAATTAATCAGGTAAGTGTAACATTAAAAGACAATGTATACTATAACATCTCCACGAAATTGATATTGAATGATAAATTAGTAACATAAAAAGGTGCTCTGCTGTTGCAAGATGCTTTCCATGATTCATTCTCTCCAAGTTTCCTGCCTCTTTCAGCTAATCTGAGCTAGTTTCAGAGGATGAAGCTGAACTTGGTCTGTTTGCTTCGTCACTTTGTGCCCAGCCATCATCATTTGACTTACACCCTGCAATAACTGATTTCAGTAAAAACATTCTTGCTTCGTCATCAATAGACTGAGATTCTCCGATCCATACATAAACGCTGCTTACCAAATTCCAGTGTCCAATAAGATCATAGCGAATGTTTGACAGTAAAGTCTTAGCAAAAGTACCCCTTTCCATTGGTTTGTGATCTAACCATTTGCAAATTACTTTGAAAAGTTTTCCTTCATCGACTTTGATATGTGAGGAGGAAGTTAGAAGCTTGATGCGATAGTAATCAAGTTCAAGAAACTCCTCTGATTCTTTCATAACTTTTGATAAGCTATTATCAAACTTCCTCAGGCAACATTTTATCAACTTAGAGCAGTTGACAGTTTGAGAAAAGTCAAACATACTTGGGAAGCCTTCTTCAGTTATCATTTTTACCAAGTAAGGATATGTCTTTTTGAGAAGCAATGGGACATCATAACTTTTAGCAAATTTGTACACAGCCTTAGCATTCTTATCAGTAAGCAAAATCTTTCCGGAGTAAAAGCTTTCCACAATTTCGGAGACAACACCAGAAAGTTCAGTGAACTCAGGCAATAGTTCAACTTCCATTTTCTTAGTTCCTGAGTTTTGACTAATTTCACCAACCGTCAATAACTGGCTGTTCAACTTCAGGATAACTTTATGAGCTGGAATTATTAGTTCGCCAACACAAATGTCCACATCTGATGTTTCTTCATCAAGATACAACGATGATAAACGTGCTAAGGTTTTCTTTTCCCATCCCTTTATTTCTTTGAGGTCATCATTTTCTTGTGTAACCAATTTATTTTGAGGTGTAGAACCAGTGTTTGTCACCCCAAAAGCGAAATTGTTTGGCGCCCCAAATAAATTGTTTGACGTTGACCCAAAAGTTGACCCAAAAGTGTTTGATGACGTTGACCCAAAATTAAAAGTGTTTGATGACCCAGAAGTGTTTGACCTCCCAAATAAGTCGGAAGACCCAGAAGTGTTTTGCGCCGGCCCCCCAAACATACTCTGTCATATTATTATATGAAAAATTGATTAGGATTTCAATGATAATAAGAAATAACATTTAGGTTTCAATAAATTTGAAAATGAAGTATTTATCAACTGAAGTATTTATCAAATGACAATGAAGTATTTATCAACTGACATAGAAACTCACAACCTTATGACGTTTACCTTTTGAGCTAAAAACAATATATATACGTTTAATTAAATCAAGGTTAGACACCTTTACAATGTACATAGTACAACGATCCAATAAATTTAATAAAACAGTAAACATTTCTAAATTAGCTTGGAATTTATTAAAAATGAAAAGAAAAATCCCACAACTTGGAAAACATACCTTCCATGTTATTTTACAGTATATTTCAAATGCTCACATCACTGCAATAAGCAGTCCAACAAAAAACCCTGCACTGAGCATTTATGATCTAGGAGTGTTTTATTTATAATATAAGGTTAGGGTCCAAATCAGTGGCATAACAAAGGGCCCCACTAACCCTGCTGTGCAGGGGGCGCCAAAAGGGGGCGCATTTTCGGCGGGGGCGCTAACAGGCAATATTACGCCACTGATCCAAATCACATATTGCTGTGGGTAGCAAAGTTTTGGGACCACTGCATTTTCTAATAGATATTACAAAATAATAATAATAATTTAAACTTATAGATTATAGTGGCACAACAACTTAAAATGCACAGGTGTGCCAAGAAAACAAGCCAGGATACAAGAAAACATGAAAAGCAATCCACATTTAGGTTCCAAACCATAGAAAACTGTTGACATACGTTGCATGCCACTTTTTGCGCGCGAAAAAAAATTGTAAAGACTTGATACACTAAACTACATGGTAAAGGGTATTATATATGCACTTAACAATAGAAACATTGAAAAAATAATAAATTAATTAATATCATAAGCACGTTTAAAAAAACGTTTTCAGATCATACACGTTCAAAGGAAATCAAATTGCATTCTGCGTTTTTAGTAAACCAAAGTTATTTGTTATCTATAGTGACTATTTATGTTTTTGTCCTTGTCGTGTGTTTGGTACATTTGTGAAATGCTGATCATGTCTTTTATTTGGTTTTTTTATTTGTTGGATTATGCTTGAGGGTGAAGTAACTTTAAATTTGTAAATGACCTGTCCAGTGCATGCAGCGGCAAATAAAAATATTTTTGTTTCACTTTGCTAAATATTTTTGTTTCACTTAAAACTTTCGGCGCTGCTATATAACAAATAATTTGAGTTCAGGGAAAGTATGTCGTAATTCCCTCAAAGGGGTGCCGTAAGTTTACACGTTGCTTTAACAGCTGATCGTTTTGACTTTTGCTGGCTGTTTGTTTTAACTTTTGCTGAGTATGGGTGACAACAACAAGAATAACAAGAGAGCCTCATCTAATACAAATATGTCACGAATTCCTTCCCCTGCGGACAAAAAGGCAAAGTCCCGGATCAAGACCAACACTCCAGGACTAGAGGTGAAGGGAAAAGATGGATCTTGTGAGACTATTGTTGTAGACAGTGATGTAACACTCCCAAAGATTGACAGTTCACACAGGGACAAGACAAAATGTCCATGCAATAAGTCAATATCGTCATGGAAGATTGACTGTGTAAAGTGCAAGCAATATTGGCACATAGACTGTCTAACTATGAACGGACTCAATCAGAAAAACGTCAACAGCATGACCATTACTATCTTTATTATACAATGAATGCATGAGGAATGAAGTATTCCCAGATGATTTAAAGACTGGGAGAATCAGTCCGATCTATAAGAAGGATAATGAGGAATTGCTGGAAAACTATAGGCCAGTATCAACCTTAGCTGTTTTTGGTAAGATATTTGAAAAAATTATTTACAACAGACTGTATAGCTTCTTTCAGTCCCAGAAAATGATTTACGAGAACCAGTACGGATTTAGAAAAAATCATTCCACAAGCCATGCCCTCAACTCCTCAGTGAATTACATAGAATCCTGTCTTAGCAAAAAACTGCATGTGCTTGGAATATTTATTGACCTATCTAAAGCGTTTGACACGATCTCACATGAAAAACTACTTAATAAGCTAGACAACTATGGAA